CCAAGGGACTGAAGCATCTTGGAAAGAGAAGCAGAACAGTCAGCAGGTGCAGGTGCTTGCGGCATACGTTGCTTCAGGCCGTCTACACGGTGTCTAACAGCTTTCGAGCTCTCGTGGCCAGCAGCTGAACAACTTGTCCAGCTGGTGTACTACTGCGCTGAAACCAATTATGGAAATGTGACGCAAGCAGACAACTGTGGGTGTTATGTGCTTGTTTAATGGACTTCGGTACTGCGGCGTTGAACACGGCTACGGCTTTTGAGAAAGAGCAGCGAGCAGAACCCCAGAGTTTTTGCCCAAAACCAGCAAAATGCTCGAAAAGGGCTAGGCCACTTGCCAAAGAGCATCGAACCGCTTGAACGAGACTGGAGCATTTGAGAAAGTGCAATGGAGACTGGAGGAATTGAAAAGGAGCAGCAAACAGCTCGAAAACGATTGCGTAGAGCATGTGAGAACGAGCAGCAAACCGCTCGGAATGGATTAGTTCGTTTGAGACAGAGCAACAAACTGCGCGAAAAGGGACAGAGCATCTGAGAAAGAGCAGCGAACAGCTCGAAAGGGATTTCAGTAATTGAGGAAGTTCAACAGTTTATCAAAGTGCTCGAAAGAGATTGGAATGCTAAAGATTGCTAAAGTGTGAAAGAACGAGCAGCGAACCGCTCGACAAGGTTTGGAGGCTTTGAGAAAGAGCATAGAAGAATTTACGACAGGGCAGCGAACTGCTCAAAAGTGACTGGGCCTTCGAGACAAAGTAGAGATCAGATCGAAACGAACTAGAGCGAGCGGGTGATCAAGTACTAGGGACAGCAGTCGTTGGAGGATCGAGTGTTCCTGGGGGGGCAAGGGTAGACACAGCTGTCACAGTCCAAATCAGAACCTGGGCGAGACCAGGAATCATGGCAATCGTGATGATCTTCGGGCGCATCAGCTTAGCTAAACTTCTCACGTCTCGCCATCCCGTGCCCCTGAGACCCTCTGAGGCTGCCGGCGCAGCCCCCACGCGCCCAACTGTAATGAAGAGGTAGTCCGAAAGAAAGTCGCGTGCCATGACCTGGACCTCCGAGCTCGCTGCTCATCAACCCAGGGTCCAACTGCTTGGGGTCTTGGGGTCTTGGGGTTTGAAGAGCCCGTTCTGGTTCAGCGTTGGTCGGGGGCTACAGCATCCGCAAAGGATCTCCAAACCCAGTGTTGAAGGCCCGCTCTTAAGAGCCCCAACACTCGCGAAACTGGCCTCCGAAGCGAACGTCGCTGAGAACATCATCGACTGCAGTCGAACAGTGCTCCACCTGGCAGGTGCCAGTCGACCACTGCTTCGACGCTCAAACGCATAGCCCCATGAAGGTTTCATGGTCATCTGTACTAGCCGCCAATCACCACCGTCGTCACCGTCAGAATACAAAGCACAGGCCCCATGCAGTCAGCCGACATTGATGTTTCCGGTGCCTCTTTCTGCACTTGCATACAAAAACTCTCCCGATTCCTCTGATTCTTGCCCTGCCAAACGCACAAACCTGAACACCCAGGACTCCAGGAGATCAAGATCCCGAGCTCCCAAAGCGGATAAGTCTATAGTCCTGCAGCTCCTTGCTGTGACTTACTCTCATGACGAGGGTCATGCTAGAGCCTACCCTCAAACCGACTCAAACCTCGTTTCACTCTCTAGGGCCTCTGTTTTGGCATTTTTACAGGAGGATCAACATCGATTGTGGCAGAGGAGCATCCTTTGCCATTGGAGCCTTCTATCTTCGAGATGCTGATCGGAACCACTCATCTACTTCACAGCCAGAAAGTTCCAGGACAATGACTCGACATGTTGCTGCTTCTGCACTTCCAGAAGCCTTGAAACAAACTTCTGCGAGGAACTCCGAGCGTCCTTGCACCGCAAGGTCCCGAAGGCCCTCCAGAATCCTCAGCCACTTGCCGCCACTTGCCCTTCCGAGGGCCCCTCGCCTGCCCATGTCGGTTTGCTTCACGATCTGCCGGACCTGGGGCTCGAAACCTGGCCGAAAAACCCAAAAAGTGCAGGGCGAGAAAGAAGACGTCAGCAGCTTCAGCACGTTTTGGAGTTTGGCAGAAACTCTGCATGTAGAATCCGAGAAGGAAGGATTGGGGCTATCGCCGCGTGTCTCCTGATCATGACATGTCGTTACTGCGATCGACATGGTCAGGCGTGTTCTCTGCAGGGCCATCACTTTGATAACCATATGCATCGTCATCATCAGCAGCATCAGCATCACCATCATCTCCCTCACTACAATCATAGTCATATACTGCTACTGCTGCTGCTACTACTACTACTACTACTACTAAGACTGCTGCTGCTGCTGCTGCT